ATTTTTTTACAGAGAGGAAGGGAGAGGAATAGAGAGTTAGAAACATCCATGAGAGAGAAACATCCATCAGCTGCCTCTTGCACACCCACTGAGCTCTACCCACTGAGCCAAACTGGTCAGGGCTGCATTGGTGGATTCTTGTATGTGCCCTGACTGGTGAATGAACCAGAAACCTTGGCATATCCGGACAGTGCTCTAACCAACTGAGCTACCTGGCCAGGGCTTAATGTTTAATCTATACATTTTAAAAGATTTGAAAATGGAATATGTAGGTTACGCAGCAATGCATATTTGAGAATAGTGGAATGACCCGGAGTCTTTTTTATGGAAATCAGACGACAAAAGGTGACTCTTTTTCAGAACAAATATTACCCTAGACTAGAGTATACTGCTTGTTGAGCAGAATTTCAGTCCTCCCTGGCTCCTTCAACTAGGTGTCCTTATGCAGTGAACAACCTGCAGCCCATACCTTATGCAGCAGATCTGGAAGGATCCTTTACACCAGTGGTTCTCAACTCGAGCCACCTATTGGAAAAACCTAGGGAGCTTTTTGAAAATACTCATGCCCAGGCCCCCATCTCAGAGATTTGGACTTAATTGGTCCTGAGGCATTGGTTTAATTTTAAAACTCCCCAGGTATTTCAATGCACAGCCTGGGTTGAGGATTACAACTTTGTATTTACTGATGTGAAAAATCTAAACCCAGCTCTATTGCAAATGTGTTTGCACTATATAGGCAAGTATTGACATGCTGATGGGATTCACATCGCAGCCAAAATCTAGCACAATGCCAAGTACTGGCATTTCAACATTTACTGCCAGGAACCTCTGCCTTTACCACCCGCCCCCAGATGTCCAGGCAAGCTCCCTGACCTGTCTCCCTGAGGAGGGAGCTAATAGGCAGCTGAACCACGACACTGGAACTGCAACTCGAGACTGTGGGACTAGGAGTTCTGAAGTCAAGTCTGGGCTCAGCACAAGCCTGGTTGTGCGACCTTGAAAAAGTGACTTCACCGTCCCCTGCTTCAGTTACTTTGGTTATGAAATTAAACTAATGGTATGGACACATTTGCCAGAAATATAATGAGATTTAATTAGTAAAGTATTTGTAAAGTGCTTCATAAATATAAATTGTTGTGCAATTGTTAAGTAACTTCATGGTGTGAAATTCCATTGAAATATTTATTTTTTAAATGGCCCCGTGATTTTTAAAATATTTTTATTCATTCTAGAGAGGAAGGGAGAGGGAGAGAGAAATATCAATGATAAGAGAGAATCATTGATTGGCTGCCTCCTGCATGCCCCACACTGAGGATGGAGCCCACAACCTGAGCATGTGCCCTGACCAGAAATCTAACCATTCACAGGTCGACTCTCAACCACTGAGACACCCAGCTGGGCTGGCCCCAATGATTCTGACACAGGTGGTTAGGAAGTTGTTTAGACAGATCTGCTCAAAGAGTTCTCTGGTCCCTGCCTTTTCCAAGTTTTGTTTGTTCAAGTCTTCTTGAGATTCTGAAACAATAGCCCCTGTTCTTTTAAATAAATTACTCTTTCTCTTCCTTAAGCTAGCCAGTGCTGATTTCTGTTACTTGTAAACAAAAAGAATTTAAACTAATGCAATAAATCAGGATAGTATTTTCCAAATTGTATTCTATGGAAGGCTATGTTCTAAAATGTTAATGTTATTCTGTGCCAGGGTAACTCAGTTGGTTAGTATTGTTCTGATATAATACCAAGGTTGCAGGTTTGATCCCCTGTCAGGACACATACAAGAATCAACCAAATAAATCATAAGTGGAACAAAAAATTGATGTTTCTCCCTAAAATCAATTAAAAAAAGATTAAAAAATAAAATATTCAAGTTTTGTACAAGAATAATGTTTAATATACTTTAATTTTTAAATCCTCAAATACCTTTCATATTAAAACTATATTATGGGGGGAGAGATCAACCAAAGGACTTATATGCAAGCATATAGGCCTAACCAATGGACACAGACAACAGGAGGGTGAGAGCATGAGTGGGGGGGGGATGGGAGGTAATGTGGGGATAAGGACACATATGTAAAAACGTAATCAATAAAGAAATTTAAAAAAACCCTATATTATGGTGATGGAAGGATACTTGACTCAGGGTGGTAAATACACAATACAATATACAGACAATGTATTGCAGAATTGTATACCTGAAACCTATATAATTGTATTAACCAATGTCACCCCAATAAATTCAACTTAAAAAAAAAGTATGTATCATGATTATACCTAATAAAATGCCTTTACAAAAGTGTTCTATGCCCAAGGCCAGCAAATTTCAGAAACTACTGTATTTGTAGTATAGTGGTTCTCAAACTTTAGTGCAAATCAGAATCACCTGGGGGAGCTTGTTAAAAGATTGCTGGGTCCCACCCTCAGTCTCAGCAAGTCTGTGATGAGAATTTCCATTTCTAACAAGTTTCCCAGATGCTGCTGGATCATGGACATTTGCTAGTCTTTTTTTTAAAATGTATTTTATTGATTTTTTTAGAGAGGAAGGGAGAGGGATAGAGAGTTAGAAACATCAGATCAGCTGCCTCCTGCACACCTGCTACTGGGGATGTGCCCGCAACCAAGGTACATGCCCTTGACCGGAATCGAACCTGGGACCCTTCAGTCCGCAGGCCGACGCTGAGCCAAACCGGCCAGGGCGACATTTGCTAGTCTTAAATTAGGCTGCTCCAAAAATTATTTTACTGAAGAATTCACGTTATGATTCTTCATTTTAAAGTTTCAACTTCTGCTTGCTTTATCCAATCATCATTAGACTTTTAGGGGATTTTGTATGCCTTTTTAATCTTAGTAAAAAAAAAAGAGCAAAATGATCCTGATTGTGTGGTTCAGTTGGTTGGAGCACCGAAAGGCTGCCAGTTCGATTCTGGGATGGGGAACAGGCCTAGGTTTTGGATTCGATCCCTGGTTGGGCGCACATAGGAGGCAACCTTCCCCTTTCTCTAAAATCAGTAAAAACATATCCTTGGGTGAGGATTTTTTTAAAAAGCAAAATGAAAGATGTTACTTGTTCCTTATTTCATTTGTAAACTTTCCAAATTTTGTACAGCTGTAAAATTTTCAAAAAGGCATGTGACCTTAGCATGGTCATTTCTTATATTTTGTCTTGGAGGTCATTTTGTTGTTGGCCACTTGAATTTCAGTACTTATACCTCAGGACTATTTATAAACTTTCCATCAGCAGCATCACGGGCAAGTGTTTTGAAAACGGCCATCTAGTGTCTTGTCTGCAAGAGCAGGGTCAATGACTTGTCCAAGGTTTTATCATTCAATGGCCATAAAGCCTTTGTGTACAAGTAATAATAGGGTCTTGCAACAAATTGTTCATAGTAATTCTGGGGCAAATGATCTAATGAATTGTTGAATTGAAAATGTCTTGCCAATGGCCCTAAAAATCACCTCAAAAATAACTTTTTTGGGGGGCTTAGAGGAGTTAAAGTCTATTTTGAATCAAGAGCAAGCTCGGCGGAGCAAAATATAACCTAGGATATAATTGTGATTCTCTGCTATTAATAGACTTGGATTAGAAATCAAAAACCCTAGATGCCAAATTTCAACTCTAATTTACTAACTGTAGGCAACACATCATTTCTAATTCCAGTTCTCTCCATCTGCACAAAAATAATTAGAACAAGGATAACTAGTTCATATGAAGAGTTCTCTAATCCATTTTATAAATGCAAAATGGACTGATGGTTCCTTGGATTGTACCTTTTAAGCAACTACTCATCTGTTTTCCAGGCTGCTCTTGACCTTGGGTTGGGGTTTACCCTTCAAGAAGCTTTCTCTGAACCTCTGACTCAGACAGGGAAAGGGGCCTCTCCCTATGTCGCACCTGCCTCCCCCACTTCTCCCCACGTGACACAGCACCTATCCGCTCTGCTTTGTCTTTAAGTGCAGATACCCTGTCTGATACAGTTTAGCATTTAGTGTTCCCCACCCCTCTCCAGACATAGAAGGCATTAGACACAGTTCACTGATCACAATTTATTATAATCTGCTGGCAGCATAGATATTAGTTACCAGAACTATGTCTTCATAGAAGTGGACAGTATGTAGCCATTCTATGGGGAACTGTGTGCACTTAATCATCACCATGATCTTTCAGTTTCTTGATGTTCTGCTTGTGCCGCTCAATTTCTTTCTGCAGACGCTCAATCTCCTTTTTGTGATGAGTGATCTCTTCTTCATGGTGTTTCTTCAGGGCTGCCAGTTGTTCTTTAGTCCGCTCTCTACAAGTAAACAATGGCTCTGGGTTTAATCCTAATCCATCACCCCAAAGAGATCTTTAAGCATAACCTGCAATACCTAAGGCAAAGGAGTCCCAATCCCACGGGAGTCTGGCTGGTCATCCTCTTCTACCTCCTCAAGCCCCACTAGTGAAAGAATACTCCACCTTAACATGTACCCATCTTTAGGAAATGACCAAAATGATTCCATTTTTCTGGTGCTAGTGCCTGAAATTACATCATTTATGAGCTCCTCCTTTTACATTCCTCTTTAGAACAGAAAACTCCACAGAGGTGTGACCTATGTCCCCAATACCTTATCAGAGGAATAACCAAGAGAACAGAATCCCTTTTTGGGGAAATGAGGAATAGACGAAGGGGTATAGTTAAAGGACAAATATTTGCAACCTATCCTAATTTACCTAGAGCTTTCTTTGCCTAGAGAAATGCATGGCCCACTGTAAAGGCCAAAAAGAAGTGGGGAAAGAAGGGACCTATTGCATGGGCAGTACTTGGCAGTCCAATTTAGAAACAATATAGCCCTGGCTGGGTTGGCCCCGTTGGTTGGAATGTTGTCCTGTACATCGAAAGGTTGCGGGGTTTGCTTCCTGGTCAGGGCACATATCTAGGTGTAGGCTCGAACCCGTGTTGCAGCGTGTATGGGAGGCAACCAATCAATATTTCTCTCACTTTGATGTTTCTCTCTCTCTCTAAAAAACAAACAAACAAAAAACCAATAAAAACATCTTTGGGTGAGGATAAAGAGAGAGAGAGAGAGAGAGAGAGAGAGAGAGCGAGCCCTACTAGCTGGTTTGGCTCAGTGGATAGAGCGTCAGCCTACAGACTGAAGGGTCCCAGGTTTGATTCTGCCCGGGGTTTCGGGTTTCATCCCAAGTAGGGGGCATGCAGGAGTCCCAGGTTTTCTGCCCGGGGTTTCGGGCTTGATCCCAAGTAGGGGGCATGCAGGAGGCAGCCGATCAATGATTCTCTCTCATCATAGATGTTTCTATCTCTCTCTCTTCCTGTCTGAAATAAAAAAATATATTTAAAAATATATAGGAGCCCACTTGGGTGGTCTTTAAGGGCTGTACTTTGGCTTTCTGGTATGGCAGGGGCCATGGTGATAATTCTTTTTTTTTTCCCTTTAAGAATAGTTTATTGATTTTTACAGAGAAAGAGGAAGGGAGGAGAGAGAAACATTCATGTAAGAGCCCACAACTCCAGCATGTGCCCTGACCTGGAATGGAATCAGCAACCCTTCCCAGCATGGGTGAGGCTTAACCAACTGAGGCACAGCGGCCAGGGCCAAGGTGATAATTCTTAAGAGTGAGGAAGAGAAGGCAGAAGTGAAAAGATGGCCAAAGGATAAGCAGAGATAAGTTCTATGCTATTCCTTACTGTGCAGAGAAGTCAGTAAAAGATAACTCAGGGTTGGTAAAAATGTAGAGGCCCAGACCACCCCATACTCTTTTTTTTTTGTTAATCCTCACCCGGGGATATTTTTCCATTGATTTTTAGGACGAGTGGAAGAGAGAGAGAAAGAGAAACATCGATGTGTTGCCTCCTGCATGAGCAGGGACCAGGACCCTGGCGGGGAGGAACCTGCAACCAAGGTACTGCCCTTCCGGACCCGGTCTGCATGCCAGTCGCTCTCCAGAGGCTCTATCCACTAAGCCAAACCAGCTGGGGCCCCACTCCATACTCTTTTAAAATTAAAAAAAACAAAACTGATTTCAGAGAGGAAAAGAGAGGGAGAGATATGGAAACGTTAATGATAGAATCATTGATGGGCTGCCTCCTGCACGCCCCCCACTGGGGATAGAGCCCGTCACCTGGGCACGTGCCCTGACCGGGAATCAAATGGTTACCTCCTGGTTTATAGGTGATGCCCAACCACTGAGCCACACCGGCGGGCCTCACTCCAGACTCTTAAGAGAGAAAGTCATCCAGCTGGGCGGAGCCCGGCAAAAGTCTCCAGGAAATGAGGAAGGGAATTTCAAATCTGGAGCACTCAGCTCCTATATGACCCCCTCGCTCTGGCCAACCTAGGCCTGTGGAGGTCAAGGAGTGGGTCTGAAGAGTCAGGGGACCCATCCTTCAGGGGCCAGCAAAGCTAAGGCGTGTGGAGGAGAAAACATCACAGAAGGATATTGGGTGTTGGCGCAGGGAGCAAACTCAGAGGTTGGATCCAGACAATGCAAAGGCTCGGGGGCGCTTCGCACGATCTGGGAAGAACTCCACGGGTGGGGATGGCAAACGATGCTGGAAGAATCGGGCCGTGGCTTGAGAGTAATGGAGAAGCGCAGGTGGAAATGGCTTGGACTGGGGGCCCTGGGACTACTCAGCAGGGCACTAGGAGCAAGGGTGTCAGGGCTCCGGAACCCGGGGGCTCTGCGGGGGAGGGGGCGACCC